AGTAATATTTATTTTGTATTTATTGCATTATTATTATTATTATTATTATTATTATTATTATTATTAATATGTGTAGCGGAAATAGTAATTTTTATAAACAAAAAAAAAGTAATAAAAAATGATTTGTTGTTATTTTATTTACGGTTATTTAAAGTATTTAAATAAACAAAAAATTTCCCGCTCTTGAGTGGCTTTAATGTTTAGCAAATGGAAAATTTTAAAAATCACGACGTGAAAAAAATTCATTTATTTATTATCATTATCATTATTTATATTTGGTCCGCCATTTTGATTTATCGATTCATTGCGTCGTAAAGAAAATTAAATAAATAGTAACAAAAGAAAAATAATAATAATAATAATAATTTTTTTTTTCGTATAACATAAACGAAAAATTTTAAAATTTTTTCACTGCGTCGGCCATATTGTTTGATATTCGCGGGTTTTTTTTTTTTTTTTATTCTTTTTTTTTTTCGTCGTGATTAACATCAAAAATGGTTAAAATCAAACATAATGCTTTAGGGAGAAAAAAAAAAAAAATTTTTAAAACGAGTTTTGTTACGCGCGCGTGTGCGTTTTATAAAAAAAAACCTTGACATCATGCGTTACCTACGAAACACATAAATTTACGTAATTAATTAAATGCGTAATTTTAACTACCGAAAGAAAACGAACGTCGTTTTATTATTATTATTATTATTATTATTATTATTATTATTATTATTATTATTATGTTTTTAACCTCTCACTTTATTTAATCTCTCTATCTCTCTTTCTCTCTTTTCCTATTTTCCCTTATTTTTTTTAACCACTATTTTTAGGAAAATTACTTTTTTTTACGCCCGCTACTATTATTTAATTACTTGTTTTTTCTCAACACCCAAAGGCTCGTTGCAATGTTTAACCTTCCGGTTATTTTTTATTACCTACCACCGCGTAAAAACATTCGCGTTAATTATTACATGTTTGTAATAAAAAAAAAAAAAACAAAAACAAAAACAAAAATTATAAACTCGGATCGATAAAAAAAAACGTTTGAAAATTTTTGTTAATAAGAAAGAATTAATAAATTTTAAATTTTCTAGAAGTAATTTTTAAAAAAAAAGGTTTTTTTTTTTTTTTTAGTTGAAAAATAATATTACGTAATATTATGTGTGGTAACCGATAATTTTTAATGAATGCTTTCGTAGTTATGAAAAAGAAATAACCGTAAAACTAAAAACAAAAAAGCGGAAAATTTTTAAACTGGTTTATTATAAAATTGGGTGTATTCAATGAAAGAAAATAAAATATGCATACATATACATATGAGGAGAGAGAGAAAGAAAGAGAGAAAAAAACAGATAAGAAAGAGAAACAAAAAGTGAAGTAGAAAACGGGGGTGGAGAAAGAGAGAGAAAGAAAGGAAGAAGAAAACAGAGAGAGAGAGAGAAAGAAAGAGAGGAAGGAAGAAAAAGAAAAAGAAAAGGGGAAGAGATAGAAGAAGAAGGAAAGAAAGAGAAAAGAATACGGTTAGAGAGTAACAAACAGAATGAGACAGAGAGAAAGAGTGTAAGAGAGAGGAACAAACAAAGAAAAAAACAGAGGAACAGTCAGAGAGAAAGAGAGAGAGAGATGGGAAAACTTATTTTTATAAGAAAAAAAAAAGAAAGCAAAATTCGCACCAAACTCGACAGTATAAAATAAGGGAAAATAATGGAAAATTGAAGAAGACTTTAGTTAATGTGGGGTGAAAATGTCTTCAGGGTAATTTTTCAACCCCTCTCTATCTTTCTCTTTATATCTATTTGTATCTTTTTCGACTTCCTCATTACAACAACAACCAGAACCACCGCCATCACCCTCTTTTCACCTTTACTTGCAAAAAAAAAAAAAAACCCTTTAGGTCATTTTGATTTCTTCCTTAGGTAAACAACAATTCCAAGATTAAAACGTTTTTAAAATTTTTTCTCTTCCTTCTTCTTCTTCTTCGTTTCTGGTTGGATTAATCGTGATTACATTTTGAATTTGTTTGTAAGAGGGCAATTTGAGTTTCACCCCTTTTAAAATAGTTTCCGATGATGATGATAATAATAATTTATTTTCAATATCTTTTTTTCCCTTCGAAAAAAGCTGCTGCTGTGTTGTTTTTTCGTGAAATTTTTTTTCCTTTTTTTTTTTTTTTACATAAATTTAACATTTTACCATCTTCTTCCTCTCTCTCTCTCTCTCTTCATCTTCATCCTCTCATACGTCTTCAAACTATCTGTTGTTTAAAATCTATTTTTCTTTCTTCTCTCCCTCTTTCTCACTTTCTTTCTTCCATTTTCTTCTCATCAACTTTCCAGATTTTACACCTTCGATTTTTATTTAACCTTCACCGTAACCTTTATAATGACGACGACGACATTTTTTTATTTTCTTCGTTTGTTTAAACGTCAGCATATTTATTTACACGACAGAAAAAATTAAAAAACATTTAAAAAAAAAAAAAGAAAAGTTTTTCCAAAATAATTTTTGAGTCAATTAAACCGACGACGCATTTTCCTTTTGAGTTAAATTTTCTTTTTTTTTTTTTTTCGTGTGTGTGGGTTTGGGGGACGCGGGAAAATCCCCTTCTCCCCAAGAGAATATTTTAATTTCGAAACCAAAAAAGAAAAAAAAAAAGGATAAATATTACGTATATTTTAAAATTTTCTCAAAGGTTGACATTAATTAATTATTTATAAACAAATTTAAAAGGATAATTAAACGAGTAAGCAAGTACCGGAAACCAGTTTTATTAATTTTTTTTTTTTTTTTTTTAAATAAAAACGTTGAGAACGCGCGACGACGCCATTACCGTCATATTTACAACAACCAACATAATCGTCATAAAAAAAAATTATTTGTCTTTCTCTTCTTCTTCTAATATTAATAATAATAATAATAATAAATTTTTTCTCCTCTCAGAAATAATCGAAAAAGATTTTATTTTATTTATAACCAGTCTATACAAAAAAATTTTTTAAAAATTTATTTATAACTCATTAATTACTAATCTCTTATTTATAACTAATTAAAAAAAAATTTTTTTTTAAAACTTGTTAATAATAATAATAATAAAACTTAATAATTAATAGTTTAAAAAAAAAAAAAAGAAAAAAAAATGGGTTCAAATAATTTTCAACTGTAAATTGTTGTTTAATTAATTAATTGTTTAAAAATAATAATAATGATGATGATGATGATAATAATAATAATAAAACTTTTTCGTGTGCATGTGGCATGTTGTTTAGAATTATAAAACAACAGCGCGGAAATAATTTTTTTTTTTTTTTTTTTTGTTTTTTTCGGTTTTAAAAAATCTTAAAACAGAAGAGAGAGAAAAAAAAAAGAAAAACGACAATTTTAAACGTTAGACAGAAACTCCTTACAAACGTTATTACCATCAACATTTTTATTTAATAAAAAGGTTATATATAGTGAAAAGTTAAACATTAGAATTTTAGTCTTTTTTTTTTGTTTTAAAATAGTTAAATAAATGCGGAATAGTGTTTTTTTTTTCGAGTCGATTTAATGGTTAGCTTATGGTAAAAAAATTAATAAATTAATGCGTAATAAAAAAATAAAAAAAACGCAGTAGTAGTAATAGTTTTTTAATAAATAAGACTTTTTTTTAGGCGAACGTTTTAAATTTACGTAGGGGCCGCGAACAAAAAAAAAATTGCGCTAATAATTAAATAAAAAAAAAACAGTAAGAACCGTTAAAAGGTTTTTGTTTTGTTTTTTTTGGGTTGGTAACCCTGCATTTTTAAAAATTTTCCTCCGTTGTTTTAATTTTTAAATCTCCATGTTTAATGAGTTAACACGTCACTGCTGTTGGCAACATGATTGAATCTCAAATTAAAAAAAAAAAAAAAAATAATAATAATATACTTCCTATCGATTGCGTGAGTTTTCATGAAAAAAAAATCCCAAATTCTTTTACAAAAATTAAAAATTGCGTGTCAACGTAAAGAAAAAAAAAAAAAAAAAAAGAAAAGAAAAGAAAAAAATTTTATACAAAGAGTTCGGCGGCATTGATACAAACAACAAAAGCTAAAGGGAAACAATTCAAACAAACGTTTGTTTGTCGATCCCCGAAAACGATTGTTGTCACGAGCGAAAAGGGTATCAAATTATCCCTTAGAAAAAAAAAAAAAAAAGAAAAATTTACGTGTGTAATTATTATTATTATTATTTAATTGATGAATTAAATTTTTTTTTAAATTAAACGTTAAGGGGGCCGACACTTTAAAAAAAATTTTTTTTTTTTTTGTACGCGTAAATTTTTGTTATTATTATTATTATTATTACTAAATTTCATATCGAACTATAAGAAGAAAAAAAAAGTTGAAAAGTTGCAAAGACTGGTTTTGACAACTCGTTTAATTTTTTTTTTTCTTTCTTTTTCTTCCTACCCTTCATCATCATCATCATCATCATCATCATCATCATCATCATCATTCTTTACATTTACCCTTAGTATATTTTTTCATACCCTCCCCCTTTTCTTAATATAAGTTAAGTGTGAAATACAATCGAGATTGATTGATTGATTGAATGATTGATTTTTCTATCGCTGATCGAATTCGTCGTTTTTACGAATTAAATGTCTCTATATTGAACGAAACGTCACTTTTATACAAAAAAAAAAAATTTCCATAACCTTTTTCCCATTACTCTATTTATTTATTACTCTATGACTTTTTAAAAATACATTATTTACATACTATCGTACTATCGTATTTTTTTTTCCATCACATAAATAACTAAAATAAAAAAATTAATTCGTTTTTTCTTTACGTAACTCATTCGATTCAGAGGTACCAACGGCAGAAATTAAAAATTTGTCGCAACTTCGACAACGTTTGTTTACAAACACTCGCGCGCGCACGTGATTTCTACGATGTAAATAAAAACAATAAATTCCTTTTATTTTTCATTTTTAAATTTTTTTTTATTTTTACATTTATTTTACTCTTGTCCAAATTTAAAAAATGAATTTGATAACGGTAACTAAATTATTATCATTATTATTATTATTATTAATAATAAATTTATCATCGTACGCGAATTCTTTATCGATAAATAAGACGAACGTAGAGAACTTTGTATCGGAGACTTATCACGATTTATTACAATTCATTAATTACGAAGAACAAGGCAAATCGTTGAGCGAACTTCGACTCAACGATGGCAAACCGGTACCGGAAGAAATGAATTCTTACATCGTTTTATTGTGCATATACTTGAACACGACATGGGCGAGATGTAGCGGGAGTTTAATCAGCGAAAATTTCGTACTCACGGCGGGTCACTGCACGAATTCCGACGGTTCGAACGTCATCGTGGCACACGGCAAAGAAAATCTACAGGAATACGTCGGTGTAAGATCTACAAGTCCGATCGATGAATATGTTGGAGAAGAATTCAACGTGGAAGAAAGAAGAGTTAAGCAAGTTTACTTTTATCCTAATCAAACGCGTAAAAAATACGATTTGGCTTTGATGAAACTCGAAAATCCGTTCAAAGTAAACGTTTCGTTTTTAGATGTTGCAACGAGTAAATGACATTATTATTATCATTATTATTATTGTTATTTTTTAAACAGGTACGATTTCAATCGATTAATTTTTTTTTTGTTTTTTTTCCCCCCCTAGAAAAAGTTCACATATTGAAAAATTGCATGTCGATCGGTTATGGCATAAGCGAAATACCCAAACAACAATTGACCCTCGGGTATATAGTTAACGAACCTTTGACTCTCACGGCTCCATCGTTTAAATTAAAAGACGAAAGATTTTGCATAATACGTTCGAAAAGATTATCGAGCATATGTCCAGGAGATTCCGGAAGTCCACTAATATGTGATAAAAAAATATGGGGGGTTACGGCTTACGGCGACGAAAAAAATTGTAAAAATAATTTATTGTTTTGTTATTATCCCCTTTTCAGAGCGAAAAAATGGTTGAGCAGTTATGTTCAAGTTCAAAATGGCAGCGGCGGCACTGTCAAACGAATAAATCGTTCGAGTATTATTTTAATAACCGTTATCACATTCACTCATTTATCTTATTATTATTATTTATTTAAATAATTTTATTTATTTATTTATTTATTTATACGTAGTATTAAATTTTTATTTTTTTGTATAAATAAAAAAGTAAAAACTTGACAAAAAAAAAAATTTTTTTTTTTTTTTATAAATTTACCCGCGGCGTTAATCGGCGGATATTTACGACGTATAAAAAAAGAAACAAAACGACAACTATTGAAAAAAAAAGAAGAAAAAAAAACATGTCGGACGTCAACGTTTTAATTAATCATAAATAATAAAAGGTAAGCAACGGGATATCTTACATATAACAAAAAATAAATAAATATTTATTTACCGTTTTTGAAATTTTTTATTGTTTGTCGTATGTGGTAACGAACAAACAAAAAAAAAATAATATGTAATTGTTGTGATGATGATGATGATAATGATGATAATATGATAGGTTTCATGGGTCTTTTGTGGCGTTAACAGGGTTTAAATCAAATTCGTTACGTAGCCACTCCTAAATAATTTATTAATAAACATTCATTATCAAAAGGTTTTATGTTTTTTTTTTTATGTTTAGTCGTCATTTTCAAAAATGTTTTTTTTGTTTTGTTTTGTTTTCGTTCCTATTTATTTAAATCAAAAAATTAAACATTATAGATTATTTAAAAAGAACCCACAAATGAATTGTTTTCATTATTTTTTTTTTGTTTGTTGGGTTAAAAATGGCGGCGAAATATTTTTTTTTTTTTATTAATTTATATAATTTAAAAAAAGAAAAGAAAAAAAAAAAAAAACGTTTTTCTAACGTACAATTACAACCGCGTCTGTATTTTACATCGCAACAAACAGTCTGATAATCAATATAATAAGATAGAAATAATAATAATAATAATTTTTCTTATTTCACACGCTCGTATACTACAACCCATTAATTTATTATTAATTTTTTTTAAGTTCCCCCATCTAAGTAGTCGTCATTATTATTATTATTTTCACTCATAATCACCACGATTCGCCTTAATGTTTATCGAAGCTTTTTCAACATTTATTACAGGTTTCTACCTGTCGATCCCTAAGGAATAAATGCCGGAATATCAGTGATGCTGCATGTCTGATGAATAGGTTTTCGTTTTTTATAACCTAAACAGCACCACAACAATTCTTGTAAGTCTCATGGAGACCATCTGATTCGATGGAAACAAGTTATTTCCTGTACTAGGCTCCAGTGGCCAGTAACAGGAGGAATGAGATTTACAAGCTTGTCAAGCTGCTGACTCAGGTTGACAATAGAACAAGATTTCTTTTTGTTCTGTCTTTATCTTGTTCTCATTTTGCTCTATTACAATTATGAATCAGTCATCATTATCATTAGGAGTGAATTTATTAAATATATCTAATAAAAGACTACACTTTTTCCTTAAAACTATTTCAATATTTAATTTTCTTACTATTTCCCCTTTTTATAATTTACCCTCATGCATTTCATCACTAATGTATGCACAATATATATCTATATAATTACAGTGTACAAATCACTACACAGTGTACAAACCACAACACAATATACAAATTACAATATTGTGCCTATAAACCTAAGTAATCTGAAGGCATTTGAATTTTTCTAACTTTAAATGAGATTAGAAAAGAATTTTACACTAAACACATGACAAAATATGTTATAATGAAACAAACTAACTTAAGAAAAGTGTTAAAGTAATGTACACAATATATATATATGCACAATATATATCTATATAATTACAGTGTACAAATCACTACACAGTGTACAAACCACAACACAGTATACAAATTACAATATTGTGCCTATAAACCTAAGTAATCTGAAGGCATTTGAATTTTTCTAACTTTAAATGAGATTAGAAAAGAATTTTACACTAAACACATGACAAAATATGTTATAATGAAACAAACTAACTTATGAAAAGTGTTAAAATAATGTACAATCCATTGATTTCAATCACACTCACACAATCACACTTAAAAACACAAGTACAGAGATTTTACATCCACCTGATGCAACAAATTAACTAATTACAAGTATTTATATTAAACTACCTTCATTTTTACTTAGTGTAACAGTAGACATTTACCACAACTACTTATATTCAGCTCAAAAGATGTACAATCATATAATGGAGTCCATTGTGCCTTTTCATTATTCCTTACACTAAAATCAACTAAAATAAGGGCTACCCAATTCTTCTTGATTTTAATTTATATCTATAGGGAGTATTACACTATATCTATGATAAACAATGTTGTAATGCAACAAACTAACTCAAAAAAGGCCCAAAACAACCAACAATCAGTAAATTAACCTTTACAGGTTACAATATAGAAATTGTACAATGAGTCAATATGTCAAATCAATAATTAATGAATATTGTTATTAAATTATTCCAATTCTTGTTTTTTACAATGAGATGATACAGATATTTAGTCAAACCCCTCATAATTAACCAAACAAATGTAAAATTTTTAATCTTTTTGTTTTTTGGGCATATCCACCATCTTTTTGAGCCAAACGTTTTAGCAAGCCAAATTTAAGTTGTAAAATTAAAAGAGACTTACCCGTGATAATCATATGTACCAAGCCATCTTCTAAGATTTTTCCTTACCCACGCTTACTTTTGTCACATGAAACCGTTGTCCATTTGCAAATTTACACTTAAAATAACATAATTATCACTGAATAATATAAAAAACTAATTATATCACGACAAACTACACACAATTACAAAACTTTTGATATATAATTTATAACTAAATTGTAAAAAAAACTATTAAAATTAATTAAATAAATTGACGTGATGTAAACGCGTGTCAACCGTTGCACACCAGCGCACTCTTTTTTTTTATTAAATTATTGGAACTACTTTAATAATTCAACGTTTTTCCTAACAGAAAAAAAAAATATTTTTATTAGTGATTTTTAAAACGGAAAATAAATTTATATAATTACGATTTAAACTTCAAAATAGGTAAGTAAATAATTATTATTATTATTTTTAAGAAAAAAAAGAAAGAAGCAGATGGAAAAAGAAAAAAAAATTCGTGGTCATTGAAGTTTTTTTTTTTTCTGCTTCTTTTTTTTCTTTATCCTTATGCCTTAGGTGGCTAATCAATGAGATAAAGCCAAAGATTTAGTTTTATCTTAAATATATAATATCCTGTGGGTAAGTTGAATGACCTTTGATAATTTATTGATATGAAATGAAAGAGAATTTTAAAAAAATTTTTTTTTTTTTTTTTTTTATAACCTGGAAAAAATCATTTTGTTACGTAAACGCCAATAATAATGACATAATGATTTATAATCCTACGTCCATTCAATTAAATTAATTATTTAAAAATTAATAATGATAATTATTTAACGAATTTTTTCTTATTTTCTACACAACGTCAAATTCGGTCGTTTGCGTGGGTAAGTGAGACTTTAGGCAAAGAGAGAGAAAGAGAGAAAGTTAGAAAGAAAAAGAGAAAGGAAGAGAATGAAATGAGAGAAAATTAAAGGGATAAAAAGTGGAGTAAGTGGTTAAAAAAGACAGAGAGGGAATCAAAGAGACAGTAGGGAAAGAAAGAGAGAGAGAAAAAATATAGAGAAGCTATAGGGATAGAGAGAAAGAGAGAGAGAGAGAGAGATAAAACAGAAAATGTAATAAGAATTTATAAATAAAGTAATTTTCGTTTTTTTTTAAATATAAATTAAACCTATTTTTTTTTTACTTAGCTTATAATAACGACAATTTTTTTACAAATTTTAAACAAATCTCATACTTACCTATGGCACGCAAGACGACTTGATTAAACTAAATGTTTTAA